ATTGGTTTTGCAGCTGTTCACGGGGTCAAGGAGAGATGCCGTTTTCAATCGAGGCTCAATTTAGTCGAGAATGTGATTAGATTTAGTCCTTCCAGTGTATTCTCTCTATTTGACCATGAATTAAATTAGGTAAATAGAAAACTAAAGCCATGATTGTTGTTGATGTTGAAATGTTCATATTGCTGTCTTGCAGGAAGCCAAAGGCATAGATATGTACTTTGTCTCTGCATTGGTAAAAATAAACATAATTGCATGAATTACAGTGTTATCTAATGTGGCCATCAATACTTTTGCTAATAAAATGTTCTCGGTGCTTTTGCATGAGTGCGTGTAGAAACAGAGATTTTATCCTACAATTAAAATTGGCATGGGGTCATCTCAGTGCAGGCCGATTTCCCATAATACTCAAAGCAACCTGTTGCTGTTAAAAGGTTATCTAATTATAAAGTCACGGTGTTTCTGTCATCTACAGCTTGTAAAGACATTACCGTCCATCGGCGGTATCTGTTAAATTTTTGACGGGTCAATTAAGGTCGACTTTGTATTGTTTCAGATGCTATAAAATCTTGCCTATTATACCCAATGTTGTTGATAATCCAAAGAAACTAATATCTGACATCTGTGTTGAGTTGCTGGCTCAAACCTTTTGTATAAAACATTAATTTCCACATGACTTTTTCTCTCCTTTAAGTAGCTTTGTGTTTGGATAAAACCATCTCATAACATTTACTGGCATACTATATATACAGAAAGTAAACTAAATACTGATGGGTTATTTTTAACTTGTTTGCATTAATTTACAGAAAACCCAGAAGTAGCAGTGTATTTATAAAATAAATGAAATAATAACGTGTGAGAGTAGGATGAGCTAAAATCTTAAAGAGAGGCGATTCACAGTAATGTGGTGACTTAAGACCGTAGGGAGCCAGGAACATTTACTGACTTTTCCAAAATGGGAGAAATAACTAGAAGTTTCTTTCTTTCTTGTCCTCGATGTCAGCAATTGAAGGGACTATAAATGAGTGTGGAAGATATCATTGATAGAAACATGACAGGGTGATAAATGCATTAGAGGACTACTATGTAACCGCTCCCTAAAACATCTGCCTGTGGCTAATCATCAGCTACGAACCAATGTGCAACAAGTGTATCGCTTCCTTTACTCGCAGGTAGCCGCTGCAATAGGTGTCGCCGCAGATAATAACGCCATGTTAGTGCAGATATGGGAGGAGAAGAAGTCAAAGCCAGAACCAAAGAAATTGCGGATGACCCTAATATGGGCATCTTATTTTGGGGGATTTAGCTGTAACCACAGAAGCCCACCTGCTTTTCAAACTTGCTGTTTCTGATGGACAGCCAATCAAACAGAAGCTGCCTTCAAGGATGGAAGAATCAAGCTTGTTTCAGACATAAATTGAAGTGCGGGACTGAACCTTGCCCAATTTTACTCTTTAAGTGTGTGTGTGTGTGTGTGTGTGTGTGGGGGTGTATGTATCCATGATCGTTTATGTTAATGAGATTGTGGGGAGTGAGTTGGAGGGCGGGGTGGGCTGCTTTTAACCATGTAAAGCACTTTGTGCTACATCTTTGTATGAAAAGTGCTTTATAAATAAAGATTGATTGATTGAACCAATACTGAATATTAGTAGTAGTCCAACAATAGAAATCTAGAGTTAGTAATGAGAACATAATTCAGAAGAAAGAGCTTAAGCATAATGTTTTAGAAAACATTGAAGGGTACACTCAAAGGTCATTTGTAACCCCCTGTCTCACAGTTTTATTTATCTGGATCCTCACCCGAATTTAGTGGGTCTTCCTGTGTTTGTGCTCCACATCCCCACCAATTTTTTTTTGTTTTATTCAGATCAAGTATTTTATTGGCATGTCAGCTTATAAAAACAAATTGCCAAAGTGTAAGGATACAATTTAGTGAAGTATCCCAATAACAGGAAATAAAGAACGTGAAATGATACTGAACTGAGTAAATATTATACAGATGAAGTAAGAAGCTCTTGTCCCCTTATTTCCAGCTGTCTTTACTCTGATGTCATAGGTCAAACTGCAACCATCCCTGAAGTCAGCCTTTATTTTAATCTGAACTACACACCTGTAAAATCTGTTGACAAAATCTGTTCACAGACAGACAGGCAAATAAACACAATACTCAGTACTGCCTTTGTCGTACTTCCTGCTGCAGTAGGTGTTCCCCGGACCACATTTTGCTTTTATAACACAAACACACACACACAGGCAGACAGACTCGCAGATGGCAAATGGCACCAACCCTCTCTGTCCCAACTGGTAATGACACTCTTTCCCATTAACATGTTACCTTGCTACCTGTTCTTTAGAACTCTTGCTGGAAACATTTCAGCAATAAGATTGAAAAAAATATATAGTTGCATATGTCCAGTTTTTACATTTGTAACAGTTCTAGGGACTGAAAGTTAATTTTTGATCCTGCATAAGGTAAGAGGACTTCACTGACCTTGAACTACTTCTCTTTTTTTATGTAGTAATGCAGTCTCAGGCTCGACTTTTCTATATATGTTCATGGACAGAAAATACTAAAAGTACAGAGAATAAAAATGATCTACTTCCACACCAACTGGCTGAAGTCAAACTGCTTAGGAATATTGCTTTTAAAAGAGCTACCAAATGGATGTTGTGAAAGGCTGTTTCCAGCTGTTTCAAGTCAAAAATGAGCTTTTGATTTCATCACTACATCTTAATGTACTCTCACTATATGAACAGCAGTGTATGCATGTTGTGTGTGTGTGTGTGTGTGTACATACAGTAGGTGTCTGCTTGTCTACAGTAGGTACAGTGACAGGGCTTGCTTTCTCTCCTTCCTCTGTGTGTGCCTCTCTCGGTGTCTGAGTGTGTATGTGTGTGTCTGTGTGTGTTAAAGTATCACAGAAGTGGCAGTCTGTCAGCTCTGCTTTTCTCTGTGCTCCGCAGAACAATAGCTGGATTGGCCGTGTGTGTGACACGCAGACCACACACCCTTAATAGTGACTGACAGCACTAAGGGCTGCAAGCAGCATGCACCACCGATGCACACATACACACAGGCATTCGTGTGGTACGCACACCTAAGGACATAATGGTTTTAGTTGATTGGTGAAGGTTTCAGTCGAGTTGCATATGTGCATTGTGTGATTTTGAAACTGTGCGCGTGTGTGCATGCGTTCATTCATGCATGTGAGCGTCGGCATATGTTCTTTTGGAAGTGTTCAGCTGTCTTCTTGTAACGAGACTGTTCTCTGTGGCAGAATGAAATGTCTGTATCAAAGAAAAAGGAAAATGAAAGGAAATTAAAGTCACTTAAGGTTTTTATTTGTTATATTATGGCCATGAAGACAGGCGCACTCTGATTGGCTGGACGATAGAAGTCATTCGTCAATACCTGTAGTGCATATCCTTGACAGTATCCCCTACATTAATTAAAGGCAAAGAAATATTCTAACATTATGTTGATGTTAATAGCAACAAATGTTAGCACAGTAATACATGGAAAGGTCAAGATGGTACAAACAAAGAGATGGGTGATTAAAGTAGACTACTGGTAGATATACATCTCGTTTAAAAGAAACTTGACTCATTACAAAAGTATGCTGGGTCTGAAGCAGAGGTGAGAAAATGTGCTTTGGACTGTGCAAAATTGTTGGATTGGGTGATGGATGTGAGTTGTATGCATCATGCTTGGCCCGGATGACAAAAATTTGCTTTTAAATGCATATCAAAGGAATAACAACAAGAGATGGCATGGTGCTCAAGTACGAATGCAGGTGTGGTGAAAAGTAAGACTGGTAGAGGACACAGCAGTAGTATTAATGTCATTTAATTTTGCTTTTTGACCTGTAGCGTAGGGAAATCAGTACTCTGAAATAATTCAGACACTTAAATGTTGGGGTAGCTCGTATTAATCTCGTTTCAAGGTTTATTTCACATCCACTGTTCTCTTACTTTACTCTGTTAGCATGGCCAATCATGTCAAAAGCGTGATGTGAATCAAAGTTGAGCACAAAACAGCTTCACTTTCCTAACACGGTGGAACCAAAGGGACAGTGAAAGAGGCTGGGACAAGACAAGATAACCAATTAAGCACGGATGAGTCCACAGCATTGGAGTAGGGATAATATGAAAGCAGAATGTATACATTCAGTAACAGCATTAGTAGTGTGTAGAAGTGTTTAATGGCCCAAACTGAGTTAGACTCATTTGTCAAACTTGGACCAACTTCTTTCTGTAGAACTCTTGTGTAGCTTTTAATATTAAAGTAAAATAAACCCAACGAAAAGGTTGCAGCAATGCAGTAAAAGTGATTAATTAAGGTAAGTTAAGTGAATTTTTGTTTGCGGTGTTTTTCCAGAAGAGTTGAAAATGATTACCTGTTAAATGCAGTTAATGCTCAGGATTTTCTGTGTGTGGCAAAAGACAATATAAGTTCCCAGTAGTGCAATTTAAACCTGGAAAAAAACCCAGCTAGCATCACGTTCAGACGAGGCGTGTAGTTTGTTCTATTAGGTGTCATTAATTCCCTGCTTATTGCATAATAAAGTGTATGAGGGCTTGTAGTGGTCCTATCAGTCTGAAGTGTGTCTACATGATCTGTAACTGAGTGTTTGAACACTGTGTGTGCGTGTGTGTGTGTGTGTGCGTGTGTGCGTGTGTGAGAGAGAGAGAGGGCAAGAGAGAGATGGACTTGTGGAAGGGGGCAGCACTGCTGTGCATTTACGCTGAGAGATAGATGAGCCCTCTGGTCAAACAGCCCCTCCCCTTTGCATACACACACACACACACACTCTCTCTCACAAACCCCAACACACACAGTCACGCACTGAGCGAAAGAGAAAGAGACTGTGCTTCTGGCCCTTTAAGAGCAGAGCATAGATCTCACAGCTTACAGCGAGGGAGGGAGAAGAGGAGGGACGGAGGCAGAGCGAAAGAGAGAGAGGGAGGGTGTGAGGCTGAAAGTGTGTGAGTAGAGAGAGAGAGGAACACAGAGAGAGAGAGAGAGAGAGAATCAGCAGTGTGTGTGAGGTTGAAGGATCACTTCTATCCCGTCTTGTTTTTGGGAGACTAACCTTGTTCATCTGAGCATTGTGGGACTGTTTTATGTTGTTGTTGTCGAGAGAGACGGACCCTTACTCCAGCATGCTCACTGAGCCTGAGCTACCTCAGGAGTGTAACAGGTACGTGACGCTTTCTCTCTCACACACACGCACACAAACACACACATACACACGTTCACATACAGATGACAGAGGGTGAGGACGGAGCGGGATGCAGGCAGGGAGGATAGGGGTATAAAGCAGAAAGTTGCTGTGTGTGAAGAGAAGACTCGGACTCGGTGCGCGCGCGCGTGTTGAGCAGCTGTCTCAGCGAGTCCGCTGAGTTTGAGTCTGGAAGAGTGTGTGTGCGTCTCTGTGTTTGTGTGTGTGTGACAGTGGGAGACGGTAAGGGGGGGAGACTTTATGATTGACTGCTACGCTTCTGGTATATGCAAAGGAAACGTATATCAAGCAATATATGTGTACGCGTTTGTAACAACAGTGAGAGAAAGGACTCTTTCTTTCGCCCTCCTTTGAGTTTACTGACTAAAGTTCTGTTCATTCAAAACCTTGGTGTGTCTGTAAGAGAGAAAAAGTAAACTCAGAGGTGTGTGTGTGTGTGTGTGTGTGTGTGTGTTAAAGTCAGAACGTGTGCGCCGTTCCTCTCATCATTTCGTCTGCACCACTCACTCACCTCAACTTCTACTCGTGCGTCCACTCGCAACTCCTCCTGCAAACCTAAACCAGCCTAATATATATGAAGTTGATCTGAGCAAGTCAGAAATAAACTCAACATTTCTTCTTTTTCAAACACTAAATTGTTTAAAAATAATCGGCCAAAATATAGAAATATGCCATCCTGTATTTGAAGTGTTTGCACTCTGCTCCGCTTCCCTTTTTTAAAGTTCTGTTTATTTGAGATTTATTTTTCACATAATCCAAATTCATGCAAACCCTTAGTAATCCTATTGTCAGTCTCCATGGCAGTGGTGTTGTTTTTCTATTTTTCCCCCCTTGCCTTATGCTAATGTTAATTTCAATGTTGTTTGTGCAGGCCTGCTTCATTTAGAGGTGTCAACCCTCTAACCTTGCCCTTTTCCAACACTGTCAACACAAGTGGCTTTTGCCTGTGGAATAATGGTTGTTTGATGCTAATGCTGCGAGAGACAGATTATGTTATAATACCCTACGATTTAATACCAACACACATACACACTCCTGTCTCCCTTTGCCTGCTTGACTTTTATTGCATTATAGTAGCACTCTGTTTATTTTTGTTTTTTTTAATGCCCTGATGAAACTAATCTTTTGTTCAGAGATAAACTGAGGTTGGCGGGTGGGTTGTGAGTGTGTCGGGCGGGGGGCCCCCCTTGAATTAAGAACACATTTAGATGTGGCAAAAAAAAAAAAAGTGTTTTTAATAAACCGTTCAATCCGGCAAAGTGGTTAGAGGAGAGAGGGGAGAAAAAAAAAAGATGACAACAGCTATGAGGAATTAAAAATTTAAAGGATTACACAGAAAAGCAGAATGTATGGAGATAAATGCAGGGATTACAATGACTTAGGAGGAGAGCGCTTAAAAGTCTTGCTTTCCAGTAATGCACTCCATCACTGTGGCCGTGCTACATGTGTTTGTGTGCGTGAGTGTGTGTGTTTTCATATGAGCGGGCGAGCGAGGTGAACCTTCCATTGAGCGGTGCGTTTCGAGTGTGTACGTCGAGCGCTTGTCTCTCGGCGAGCGGAGCGCGCGCGAGCTGCCAGAGTGTGTGTGCGCTCCAGCCTCGGTGGTTGAGATGCTCTCGGTTCCTGTGTCTCTGTAAGTGCCCGCTCGCCTCCTTCACCCGCGCTTCTTCTTCTTCTTCTTCATCTTCCCATCAAACTTCCTCTTCTCTAATTCCTCTTTTCTTCTTTGAAAATCATGCAGTTTGCTAAAATTAACTTTTTATTAAAAATAGCAGTTGGGGAAGAGTTTGAAAGAGTTCTATGTAAATGTATGATTTTTTTTGCAACAAAGAAGAAATAATATTGGGGCAGTCAACTAAACAATGCAAGAATTTTCATCTCTTTCCTTGTTGCTTTGACAAAGACTCATAATTTTGCAATTTACATTATTTCATGTTCTAATTTTGCATTCTGCTTTTTTGTGATTTCAATCACTTTTTCTTCTTTTTTTTTGCTTCTCTGAGTGCTCTGCTGTGTATCAGAATTTCCAATGTGAATCTGAAAATAGTGGAAACAGACTGCCTTCGCTAGAACGGCCTCATCTGTTTGCACAAACAGAACAGAAATATACACATTGGAAGAAACGGAGAAAGCCAAAGCAACCAAATCATGAGAGGGGGTTTAAAAAAAAAAAGAAGAAGAAGAAGAAGAGAGAAAAACAGACACTTGAAGGAGCCGCTGATGCCGCTGCTGTTGGACGGAGAGATGAAGGAAAAGAAATGATGTGGTCAAACTGACACATTCCTCACCCACAAAGAAAAAGAAGCAGGTTTACAGAAAAGTGAGAGTGCCAGAGATGAAGAGGGTAAGGGCGGGTGGGGGTGATGGGGTGAAGGAAGAGGACGAGAGGAAAGAGAGGAAGAGGTCCCTGTCAATGTGGTGTTAAAGCAGTGGTGGATTTTCACACCCCTCCATTTGTCCCCTCCGTCTCGTGTGTGTGTGTGTGAGAGTGGAGATGAAGGGGGTAGAGACAGACAACAGTGGATGTGTCAACACTTTGAACACTTTAAGCAGGACACACTCAGATACGGAGTGATAGTAGTTGCGTTGGACTCAGCAGCTAGAGCGGCATTAGCAGCCGGAAGGACTTGACTCGGTTTCCTCGACACGTTTCAACAGTTTCAATATTTGTCACTTTAATTTATCTTCAGTGGCAGAGCACATTTAATCATGCCCTCTACTCGAGCACAGGCACCTCTAATTGTTAACTACCCTCTCAGATAAACACCTGAAATGGGATGAATTGTTCATATTAATCAGCTGTTTCAGTCAGGCAGTAATAATTCTCCCATTGTAGGATCGATTCACACTTTTCAAACTTTTGTGATTTTTTCTTTTTTTTTGTAGACATAAGAACGGCGTTTTATTGTGAATCTGCAACTTCCACTAAATCAGAATCGAGTCTTCCGCTGCTGTTTATTTCTGTTTATTAGAATATTTATTGGCCTTCGTTTTGTAATTATAGAGGAACGGACAGTTTTTAAAGACCGAGTTCTTGTGGCTGGCCGATAACAACTTGTTTCCAATTTGAGTGAGCAGTGCTGCTTGCAGTGCAAGTGTCGCTGTACTTCATTTAAAAGGGGTGAGATTAAAGTGGTGTGTGTGTGTGTGTGTGTTGGAGGAAAAGGAGAATGTGTGTCTGAAGGAGAGAGAGTAGAGTAATTGAGTAGAGTGTCCGTGCTCTGAAAACTAATGCGCCATTCTGCCCTTCTCTTCCCCTGTGGCCCTGTCCTGGCCTCCCTCTCTCCATCTCTCTCCCTCTCTCTCTCTCTGTGTCCCGCCCCCTCCACCACCACCTTGGACTGGAGGCCATTGTCTGGACCATATTGTCTGTCCCCAGAGAGGCTTGATAACCGTGTCTCCATCCATGGAACGAGAAGGGGGGGGTTAAAAAAAAAAGAAGAAGAAAGAAAGGGAAAGAAAGAACGACAGACAGAAAAATACCAGAGGAGAATGCCAAAGCCTCTCCCCACCCCTCCTCCCCACTTCCTCCCCTTTCTCAGCACACTCCTACCCAACCCTTCACCCCTCCAACTCTCTCTCCCACCGCGACCTCCCACCCTGGTGTGCTCAGCTGACCCTCGCCAACAGCCAGCAGAGACGGGGAAATATTAGGCCACATTTGTTTTTGTTGTTGTGTTTACGGACGGGGGAGGAGGGGATGAAAGAAAGTGAGAGTGATGAGAAGCGATTTAGGGGAAGGAAAAAAAGTGCGTGCGAAAAAAGCAAGAGAGACTGACAGAGGTGTTCCCTCCAGGCTAACTAGAGTGTAGTCATATGACATGAGGTCATAGGGTTGGAGTCAAAGGTCAGGTGGTGGGATTCTGTTGTCAGCAGAGCCAGAAAGCTCAGCAGTGTGCATGCACTGTATATTCGCTTTTTCTTTTCCCCCATTTCTTTAGCCATCCATCAATCCAGGCAGCTTGTGTTGTGCTAATCCCACTATATTGCTTTTGCTGTCGCTCTCTGCCGTTCACATTTACACACTCTCCATCCTTCGAATCTTCAATAGGAGACAGTTTCGGGAGCTTGGAGCTCCCTCCCGGAGTGCTACAATGAAACCTCTGTTTTTCCAGGTAGCGAGGGCGAGAGAGATGGGGTAGGGAGGGGGTGGGGGGGTCGGAGGAAAAAGGAGGAGACCATTTGGGCCGAGGTGGGAGAGTTTCAAAGTGCGGGGACGAAAGAAAGAGGCCAGCTGGGACTCTGTGTGCGCTCGTATTTGTGTGTTGTCATTTATGTGAGAGAATGAGCTTGCATTTTGTGTGTGTTTATCTGTGTGTGTGTGTGTGTGTGTGTGTGTGTGTGTGGGTTTACAGGGGCAGGCCAAGTCGCTGACAGTGAGACAAATGTTGTGACTCCTTTATAGATTGCTTAACAAATGCAGCACAAATAGTGGCCCTGGCACAACAATGGAAAAACACTGTCCGTCGCTCAATAAACATTATGCATCGTCTCCCCCTCGCAAAACACCAGGGGAGCGGGGCCGCCGTCCACCGGATGCACTTTTTCTCCTCTCACCGTCTGCATCCCCTCACTCCCCACTTCTCCCCCAGTTCTGCCTCTCGTCTTCCTTTTTCAATGGCAGCACTTGAGATTTTCCCACGGCCTTCCGTTGCGTTGATGGCTTTCCTTATTTCTCCCGTTTTGCTTTATCTTTTCTCTGTCACTAAAACGCCAGTGACGATCACGTAGTGACTCCGTGTAAGGACATAAATAAAAGTTTTAAAGAGGGAGAGAAATAAAACTAAGTATGTGGAGCGATGCCCGTCTGGTGACTAAAGCTTTGGGTGGATGAACGGGCGAGCGAGACAGACAGAATAAGGGAGGGAGAGAGAGAGGTAGTCTGAGAGGCCACATGAGTTAGCCCACGTCTTTCTGCGCTCACCCCCTTTGCTCTCTCATTTTCTGTCTCTCTCTCT